GAAATTCGGAGGCCATGGACGGTAGATAAAATGAATCGGTGGTTCATGCACTTAATGGCCTCCTATTTTTTAGGGGAGGCTCATTGACAATCTCCATTTTCGGATGTACTGGTGGTTTAAGTTGTTGGGGGGGGTTCCAACTGACCTCAGAAACGAAAGTCAACTGGACCAAGACAATAGGCTGGTGGACCGCGGACGCACCCGCTCCCATAGAACTATCCCCGCCAGGTCTACAGTGGACTGATCCAGATTCATCAATCCGTTTCCTGGGCATCAACCTTAATCTCAAAGGATGTCATCAAATCTCGGCGGCGTCACTCTTGTCTTCAATGGTCAACAGGATGCACACCTGGAAAGCCACACACACTTCCCTTCTAGGCAGGGTACTGGCACTCAACAACTCATTCCTAGCAATGATGTGGTACTCTGTTCCCAGCTTCTGATTTCCATTGTTAGTTGAGGAAAAAAGCAGCAGCATTCCTATGGACAGGTAATCCGGACAAGCATCACTTTATCCACAATGTGGCTTGGCAAATAGTGACCAGCCCAAAAATCAAAGGGGGCCTAGGTCTCATAGACCCAACCTGCCAAATCCAAGCCCTACAAATCAAATGGATCATAAGACTGGCCCTCCAGGACAATGTGCACTGGATCCCTCCTACCAACATGACAGGCCTATTTTGGATATTTAACAAACACTGGCCGTTCCTAAAGGGAAACGGGGACAACCCGACCAAGCACTCCAGCAGAACCCTAACAACTCCCATCGAACCCAATCCCTCTGGGAACAAATCCTACATACGTGGAGACTCATCTTCCCAGAGAACAGAACAGGTCCAAATAAAAAAGACGAAATCCACAGGCAACCCCTCTTTGGCAACCCTCTGATTAAGAACGATAAAGGTGAAAGCCTACCACTCTCGAAGTCAGATCCTAAATGGGGACACTGGCTAGAAAAGGGGTAATGGCAAATCCAACACATCTGGGACGAACCAAACAAAACCTGGAGAACAGAAAGAGACCTAAGAGATAAACTAAAAGGCGCACATCACTTGCAAATCAACCTAAACAATATAGTAGACTGCATCCCTCTACATTGGCGAGCCCTGTTGAAATCAGACCAAACTTGGCAATACGGAGACTGGGCCACTACCACTGACTCCTCACCAATACAGGAAGTCCTCACATTCAAGAATTACGAACCCCACAACAAGAACTGGATATGCTGTAACATACACACCCTAGAAGAACCAGGAAACCCGGTTAGTTATATCAACATAAAGAGCAGAGCAGAAGGAGCATTCAATACCAACAACCTGAGAAGACTCAAAATCATAGAAGGAGAAAGGAAGAGAGTCTATAAACCCCATATCAACGTTTGCGATCTAGAGATTGATCCCACGGAATGGTCATGGAGCTTCTCTTCTGGTCCCCCTCCCATTTCCAACTCATGCAAGCTAACTGACTATACACCCAAACTAGGCTATCAATATCCAATACAATACGCAATCGGAGGACAAAAGAAGAGCCACAAATAGCCAACATTAACTTCAAACTCCCCTGGGCCACAGTACTATCCACAAGACCGGCCAAGCTAGCTAGCCTGAGATGGCTAATTGTCCTCAAAGCAGTCCCAGTAAACAAATGGTTGGCCATCAGACACAATCAAGGAAACAGTTCTGAACAAGATTCCTTGTGCAAGGTAACCTCAACACCCCAGAATCCCTGAACCACTGCTTCATTGACTGCCCCGAAGCCAGATCCCTATGGCAAGCCCTAGAAACATCATGGCTCAAAATATCAGACTCTCCTCTATTAATCAACCCCGCAGCACTAGCACTGGAAGGGGCGCTTGTCCAAAAAAAAAAAAATCAACCCCGCCACACTATTCCTCGACCTCAACCAATCACCCCCACTCAAAGGCTTTGAAGCCTTCCTCTCCTCCCAAATCAAAAAACGCACCCTATGGGCCATATGGAAAAACAGATGTGACACCACATTCGATGACAGACTCACCACCCCAGAAAACCCACTCATCACCATCAAACAACTAAATTAAATAGACACAGAACTCCACGCGCTCTGGAACAAACAACGTAAAAAGCTCCCAACTGACCCCGACAAAAAAAAACTAACAATCCTAAAATTCTCAGCATCCAAATTAGGCAATGGGCTCATTGGCACAATCAACAACGAGAGACTAATCCTAAAAAATTGGCTAACCTTAACACATACATAAAGCCTCCCCAAAACCCACCCTATTCCACACACTACCAAACTCAAACCAAGCTACCATAACTAACCAATAATCGAAGCACTAAAAAGCCCTACCCCCCCACCCCTATTGCGAAACCCCCCACCTTCTAGCGTCCGTCTCCACATCACCACAATCCCGTTCAACTCACCCTTCACCTACCCCCCCCTCCCGGACCCTCCATAATACAACAACCACTATACCTTAACTAACTAATAAACCCAACCACGGTCACCCCCCACTCCTCAGCATCCCCCTTTCAAGCGAAACCAAGAGCCCAGAACTGCCCCACCAGCCTTAGCAGGATAAGACACAGATGCGACCACCGGTGATAGGACAGGACACAGAAATGACAGGATAGGCTTTAGTGTTCTGTCACCAAACACAGGACACACACACACATGTACTAGTGGAGGTGATAAGAGCACCTCTCACCAGTACTCAGTACTCACCTCGCAGATGCTCCATGGTGGGGAGCAGCGTCTGCTATGAAATCGGGTCCACATACACATTACGAACATACACATGGCCCTATGGGCTCATACAAAAACATACATAGCCTCTGGGCATACACACATACACACAAAATTACGATACTGAGCTGGGGGGGTCTATCAGGTATATGATCGGGTCTACCCTCGCATGGCTTAGCTCTAAGGAGGGGTACGGATATAAGTCGCTCCGGCTAGTCTGAGATCCGCCTAGCCTTGGGTAATCTAGGGGAAGGACGGTAGGATGTGGGCGCTGGCCTGCCTTGCTTAGGTAATCCTGCTGGGTAGAGTCTCTGAATCGGGCCTGTAGAACATATCATGAGCCTGGCGTCCGAAGTTCCGGTATGGCAAGGTTCGTCCGCTTCCGCTTGCATAGGGGCTGGGAGGTTGGCCCAGCCTTGGTCAGCTAGGGGAAGGACGGTAGGATGTGTCCGCAGGCGCTGGCCTGCCTTGCTTAGGTAATGCTGCTGGGTAGACTCTCTGAATCGGGCCTGTAGAAGATTAGATGAAGTTCCTGTACGGCAAGGTTTGTCCGCTTCCGCTTCCATCAGGGCTGGGAGGTTGGCCTAGCCTTGGTGCTTGTCACTGCTGTCTGGTCCAAGTTGCCCTCTATACTGGTAGGGTGATGGTCCTGAGTGCTGGTCACACTGAGGTAGGATAGTAGGGACAGGGGGTGCGCTGGGAGTATTAACGTGGGGATGGGTAGGGTGGGTGGCCTATCCTGTGAGGACAACCATTGGCTGCCCCTACTAGCAATCACCGCGGGTCTGGTCCTTGGCCTCTACAACACCCTGGGCTTTAAATAAAGAAAAAAAGAAAAGACCAGATCCCCAGTAAATCAGGCTAACTTAGGCAGGGGTGAAGGGTGGTACATCCTTTCTCCGGGAAGTAATCAATGCAGTCCTTCGGACCTCCACACCACAAGGGGGAGGAGCGTGAGTGTGTATATACTTGTATCATTTTCTGACTTGCCAGTGGAATAGGAACCGGACTGCTGCTCCCCAGAATGGAAAAGGAGCCGGAATCGTAAGGTTCTGTTTATCATTAAAAAAAAAAAAAAAAAGTTGTTGGGGGGGGTGCACTATGGGCATGTGACATGCTGAAAGGCTGCGAGGTGCATAGATCATAACTCAGAGTCAGACCAACGCACACCTCTCCCAGCCAGCAAACAGTCTCTATCTTAGGGTGTTTGGAAACCATACCGTATGCCTTGGCTGTGATGATTAGCACTGGGATGAAACCCACCGTTGCCCAATGCTTGTGGAGGAGAAAGTCTTTAGTTTCAACTTTCAACGGGTGACTGCGGGACAAAACTCCACAATGTCAGGTTCCATCACTCTAAGACTTTTGCGTAGAGGCTCCTTTGCAAAATAGTGCCAATGATGAAGATTTGCAGAAGAATTGACTGTCTTTTTTTTTTTTTTTTCAACCCAGGTGGATGCTAGTGATGCTGGTAAGAGCAAACACCACTAGCATGCCCAGGGAGGCTCCATCTATTGGTGGGGAGCAACACCTGCCGGGAATCGGGTCCAGCGTCCCTTGACAGTTATGGAATCATATCAGCGCACCACGTGTCGACCCTACAACGATTGTGCACACCAAACCAGCCAACACCCGGCGCTATATCCTGATGAGCAGCTTGGATTACCGTTATTGCCTGAGGGGATAAGCTGCTCTTCGTTATGAAAACAAAATTCCCCCTCCGAAACCCTTGCGATCTTCTAATGCCTGGGAGGGGCTTTCGGAGCGAGAGATCATACTAAGACATGAGCACAACTCGAGGCCAACATTCAACAAATCCACGTCGGCAAGAATAGCACCTATCATGTCGGCGCGCCACGTGTCGGGTCTAAAACGAAACACAACAGACCACGCAACTCATGGCACAATAGGTCCTGACAAGCAACCTCGATTACCCCCTTATTGAGGAAATCAGGTACTCATCTCTATAGAATCAAAGTGCCCTCTCTGAAACCCTTATCATGTACTGATAAGAAGAAGGGGAGTTCGCAGTGGAGATTTCCAGAATGTAAAAATACGGCAGCGCAGCAGCGCAGCACATGGCCAATCTCAACAGATCACCATAGGCGGTATTGCCTATCCATCCTGCTGTATACTGCCGTAGCAAATCATAGTTCCTTACAAATTCGCCCGATCTGCAGCAATCATCATTAAAAACAGATATCGAAATTGGCGAACAAACTCATCTCAAGTTGCCCTCAACTACCTCCCCGGGCTCCCCCCCCCGATTCTCCAACTTCGTGAGCGCATTTTAACCGGGGGGGTGAAAGACACTACCTATCCTACCCCTTCCCGCCCCCAACCCTTCCCCCAGAATCCCACACCCTCTCCCTGAACAACACACTTCTCAATCGCCCATCCATCACGTCCCTGACCCCAACCGAATCCCACAGCACACAAAAGCAAAATAGCAAAGGAAGACCGGGAAGGGAAACGCAATCGGATCGCACTTACTTCCCTACCAGTATCTTCCCCCTGTTTGATATCATCGCAGATGTCATCATTGCATGCTATGTAATTCGCCTTGTTGTTATTGTTGTTTCCATCGCAGCGAGTATCTTCCCCCTGCTTGATATCATCGCAGATCTCATTGCTGCATGCTACGTAATTGACGTTGTTGTTATTGTTGTTTCCATCACAGCGAGCATCGTCATTCGTAACCACATCGTTAGCAGCGAGGTCACAACCAGTAAGACCAACGACAGTGTTGTCATCGTCAGCCTTATGAAACCGCTCAACGATCTCAGCGCACAGGCCCCGCCCCTCCTCAGGGCCCCTGCCTCCGTGACCTGTGAGCGCATCTAAACATAATCGATCCGCACAATCCACCCAAGAGGGCAGCCCCTCTTCCTGCCCCCTTGCCACGGCAGACTGCTCAAGCAGCCCCCATGGCTGAACAGAACTCACAGCACTCAATGACCTCGCTACTGCAGATGGTGATACCGCCGTCATGGATGTCATTTTTGGCAATACAACCGGTGATGATGTAACTGAACTCGATGTCGAATCCAACATTGCCGTAATTGGTGAAGTTAGTGTTGTTGTTGATATTGCAACAGATGTTGGAGGTGTTGATGCGATCTGGATCTCAGAGCTTGGCAGGCCACACACATATCTCCTTGCCAAAAGGTCAGAGAACTTATCTTTAATCCGCTGCACCATATCAACGCAGTCATAGAAAATGGCGATCGCCCTCGCTCTATCGCTCACGTCCCGCTGTCGAGATAAGATCAGTTCGTAGAGCTCATCATCCAACCCATCATAGGCCTCTTCTCCCTCCTGCAGCACTTCGTATGGCAGATCCCCGTTCACCTGGCACACCGTCCCATGCATCTCCTCCAACTGTAGTTTGTGAGTTTTCGCAGTGGACAACGCAGACACTTCCTCCATCTCCGTGCCCTCCTCCATCGTTGTTGAAGCCGCCGCCACTAAACATCTTCGTATCCAAACTTTCCACGGCTGGCGCTACCCCTGTCCGCGCGTCGTGGGACACGTGCGTCACCAACAGCAGGCGCCACGTGGCAAGACACCACACACGTCTGCTGGGCGCGCGCACAGGCCTAGCGCCCGAGGAAACCCCCCGGGACACTAGTCGAGCTGGTGGCCCGGGCTTTGCCGGACCGGCAGCTACGGGCCGCTAGCGCTAGCGGCGTTGTTCTGATCAGAAGAATTGTCAAGAGTGTCAAGTTAGTCAACATGACCATTACAATTTGTCATCTGGTGACTGACCAAAGAGGTCAAAGTTTAGCAGATCTGGTCACCTATGCAGTGACCCAATCAGCTGACAAGTGTAGACTTACATAGTAGAGCGCTCTAGCGCCCGATAACAGCAGATCTGAAATATGAAGATATCAAAATGAAGAACAGGTTCAAGGTCCTACAGAGGGATTCCGAACAGGAAGTGAATGAGTTTCAGGCAACCCAATATGGAATGGAAGAACGGGCCAACAAGAATGACAGTGCCATACAAGTTCAGGACGTGGAGTACCTCAATCACTTTGACTGGTATAAGTCCTACAAAGCAGAGGGCAACGCCAGGCCGACGCGCAAGAGAAAAACACAAACGGAGAGTGGAGAAGGGAGTGACGGAGAACAGTCCCATTGTGACGCACGTGTGTGGAGGGCACATGCGGAGATGGTGTGTGTGTGTGTGTGTGTGTGTGTGTGTGTGTGTGTGTGTGTGTGTGAGAGAGAGAGAGAGAGAGAGAGAGAGAGAGAGAGAGNGAGAGAGAGAGAGAGAGAGAGAGAGAGAGAGAGAGAGAGAGAGAGAGAGAGAGAGAGAGAGAGAGAGAGAGAGATGGACACACACGAGAGGCAGCAGCTGAGTGAAGGTCCAATCCAGCCAAATTAATGAACGAACAACCAAGAATGAACTGGACCGAAACCGCCGACCTGGGCCTAGGCTGAAGTGATATATCGGCCTAGGTCCAGGTCCGGAATAACCCGGTACCAGAGGCCGACGGCCTGAGACTGGTCCAGCCTCACTGCCGGGCCGCAGGGGTACTGTTACATCCAGACACACACAAACGGAGTGTGAGGAAGGGAGCGAAGAAGAACAGCCCCAGACACAAACGGTTGAAGACGAGAAAATGGCCGACTGAAAAAGTAGGCGGCACTCTGCTGTGAGGGGTCTACAGTGGGTGCTTCCCGATAGTACCAGTAGGTCTTCCCCTTTTCTTCTTTTTTACTTCTTTTTTTCACGGACGCGTGGCGGGGTCTGAACTGTCCATTACA